TGAGACTTTTGTGGCTCTGCGGCGGTTGTGCTAACCGCTGGCTTATTTGCATTTGAGAAAAGTGAGCTAGTTTGCGTTGCCGCCGGTGCAGGTGCCGAAGTACTCGGAGGTTGGCTTGCACTAGGGGGCTTAAATAACGATGGAGTGCTTCCAGATGGTGCTGCTGAAGTTGTGGCCTTTCCAAACAAGCTCGGCCCAGTTGAAGGGGCAGCTTCGGCGGGTTTGGGTTGCGCCGGTTGACCAAAAAGCGAGGCGCCACCAGGGCCACTCGCAATGCCGGTGCTCGTGGGCTTCACATTAAATGCAGACGAAGATTCTGCAGGCTTCGTGGTAGGGAACATAACTCCTGGCTTGGGGGATTGGCTAGCAGCGGGAAACATGGACAAGGCGCCAGATGTTGCTGTAGTTGATTGAGTTGTTGCAGGCTTTGGCTGCGAGCTAGCTTGGTTTCCTAACAAGCTGGTTGTTTGGTTGTCCTTCTTTTCACTCTGTTGAGCCGGGGAAAATAAAGATGAACCGGTCTGAGTGGCAGAGTTGCCGAAAAGGTTCAGTCCGCTAGACGGCTTAGAGCCATCCAAAGGAGGGGCACCAGCGGGTGTTGTCGAATTGAGGAATAGGGAGGGTTTTGCGGGTGTTGCCTGGTTAGTTGATGTAGTGTTCAAACCACCGCCAGCGCCTGCTCCAAAGAAACCACCAGGCTTACTGGTAGACCCTGCTTGGTTAGAGGCGATACCCTGCTGGCCCAAAGTATTGCCGCCGGGGGCAGCAGTCGCTGGCGTCGTGCTTGCTGTGATGGTATTCGGGGTTGAAGACGTGGTACCAAATATGCTAGCACCCGCGGTGGTTGATGTCGCGGCGGGCTTGCTTCCAAACAAATCGGTACTCGACGGGGTCTGCGATAAGCCGCCGAAAATATTACTACCACCTGACAATGGCGTGGAAGTGCCAGGCGTACCGCTGTTGGAGGCGCCAAAGAGTGGCTTCTGTTCGGCTGGCTTCGCAGTCGTTCCAAACAAACTAGTAGTCGCAGTGCCTGACGGGGTGGTCGTGGCACTGTTGCCTCCACTGCCTGTGTTGGCGAACGAGAAAAGAGGAGGGTTCTTCGGCTGGGAACCAAATAGACCGCCAGAAGTTGCCGGAGTTGTCGAAGAACCAAACAGTCCACCGCTCGCCGGCGCAGTAGACGTAGTTGGATTGCTAGATTGCCCCGAAGAGCTGGGCGTAGTGAAGGACATTGTGCGGCTCTGTTTCACTGGTAGGAATGTAGTCGGATCGGGGGCGGAGGTGTTGGTCTGTGTGAAGGAGTAGGAGGAATGTGATATTCAGTTGGCGATTATTATCCCCAGGCCGCCGCTCCCAACGTGAGAATACCTATGGTTACTGGGATTGGGTTGCCGGGGACTCGATGGATGACTTGCTTCGTTGTCGAAATAGGTAAGGATGCATATGAGCGGACAGCCCGTAGTGATCAATGAGATCAAGAGCGCGCTGGAAACAGGAGAAAGAATCCTGGTTTACTCAACAGCTCTCTATTAGCTTGGCGATTAAGGAAAATACGACGCCAACTTTTTGCGCGACGAACCCAAAGGCAAGTACAGGCTGTAGGTGTAGGTATCGCTCAGGTACCACATACCTACCGCGCCTCAGCCTCAGGCGCGCGCTGTTTTGCTAGAAGTGTGGCTGTAGGTAAGCTTGAGCCACATACCGGTAGCTCATAAAGTGAAGTAATGTTGTGGCCTGCTGTTCGGCCGACCGGAGTGCTCGGCCATCCCACCTACTTAAAGACGTTGGCAGGGGTTTACAGCTAGGTAGCGCCCCGGAATGGCCGAGCCATGCCGTCGGCCGAATAACGTGGTATCATTGGTTATGTTAGAACGGAGAGTTTTTATTGGCCTTGAGCCTTCACCACCCCACTTATGCACTGCATATTGTGAACCAAATCCAGGAGAAACCGCAGCCCATCCTTGAGGTCCTACCGCACTGTACCATACTGTGTTGAGTACCCATCCGTCAGATGAGGTTGTTCAAGTGCTTGTAAACAGATCACAAACGCACTTTTAATGCCACTATTCCAGCTCTTGAGGCTCTTTCGGACTTATCTCTTCAGCTGAATGCACTCTTACATGTCAATACCTATCAGCCTATGTAACTACATAAATACTAAGAGAGGGATGTAGGTACGGTAGATACATCATGTTAGTATGATAGTACGCTGCGTATACAGTGCACATATATATGCACTGTACTTGTATCAGGCCCAGGCTGACTCGAGCGGTCTAGACTAATCTAGATAATGCATACTTACATTATGCACATTATGTACATATGTACCTCTACTATGTACATATGTGCCTCTATGTACATATGTGTGTGCACTGAGCAGGCTCAGAACAATGCTACTACAACCTACACTTCAGCTTCATTCGAAGTGCCAACCCTACTACGTAGCATGTATGACCTGCAAGGGAGCCGAGCAATTAAAAGCCTACCCGTCTGGGTCTCACTATGAATCTCTAGCGTATGGCTTCAATCGACCTCGATCGCCGATTGTCACATCTCTTTTTTAAGCCCGCACCACAGTCAATTACGTGCGCGTCTCTCCCTACCAGTCGAGCAGTTAAATACAACCTACCTCCCAGCTCTGCCTACCCCTCAGCCGTCTCGTGGTACCACTCTTGAGCCTTTGAACCCGACGCTGTCCGATATATCGGGCTCCCATCGAACTTCGTCGCAAGCGTGCATCATCGGACCCCTTTCCCAGCTAGGGCGTGTCCTCGACATGTCTGGAGAGCGCAGGCCCTCCTCTAGTCTCGAAGCTCCTGAGAGGACGGGGACCGAGGACCCTGGTGCCCACGACTTGGGTAGGCACTCTCTTCACATTCTACGTTTGCGCCTCTGGTCTAATTTTCAGCCTTATAGAAGCCTCTGATTCAGACGAGCACTATTCCGATGCTCAGTCCGCCCCTGCAAGTAGCACGCGGGCAGTTTCTCCCATCCCCAGGACCCGGGTCGAGAAAGTAGACGATGAGCCCTCCTATGGCGAAGTCCCTGGTACCGAGGCTTATAATAAACGGACGGAGGATGCGTCACCGGACGAGATCGCCATTGTGGAGGGCGAACAGTCTCGGTGGACACCAGCCAGCCCAGTCGCTGCAACCGGAAGCACCATCATTCCCAAGACGGTAGTTGACGAAACAGATGACGTCCCCAGCTCGTCGGCGCATCACCATAATGAACACTTGCGCCAAGCGGATGCTACACCGGACGTTATCCGGAAGCCTAGTAACCCTGACGAGACCAACCGTACGCCTGCTCCTCTGGATGCTAGCACACAAGACACCGGTACGGCAACCAAGTCCTCCCAATACCTACCCTGCGATTGACTGTACCCTCGTAGATGACATGGCCACAAATCAAGCTCTGAAATCCCCGTCAATACACCCACGGCGGAAATCTTCGGTGGCTAGATCAATCACGAGTCTTCGCGACCAGGAGACAAAAGAGTCGAATGACAATGATGACGATTTTGGTGACGACTTTGACGATTTCGAAGAAGGCGACGAAGATGCAGATTTTGGCGATTTTGATGGTGGCTTTCAGCAGGCCGAAGCACCTGTGGATGCTCGACCGCCTACAAGCCAGCCACATATCTCTATGCCTTCCTTTGTGTGTTTAGTGCCCTCCTTAGGTAGCTTTATCACAGTTATACTGACTTCCTGTGCTCCAAAGCCAATATTAGATCTTGACGGGTTAGACTCTGAAGACATTCTGGCTGCCTCTGAGCCCTACTTGGATGCATTATACCCGCCTAATGTGCTCGAGATTCCTCCTTTACCCTCACCCCCCATCGACAATCCCATATTTTTCAATCCCAGGAGCGCGTCATTATGGTCACAATTAGCCGCGCCGCCTCCCCTTCAGCCTCCCGATTGGATCCGCTCCCGCATCAGACGGTTATTCCTAGTATCGCTCGGGGTCCCTGTAGATCTAGACGAGATTCTGCCGGCCTCTAAACAAAAGAAACTGGTCCTCCCATCTCTCCATCGGATCACATCAACCGGCTCGCTTCGCACCTCTTCAGACTCTCGTTCTGTTTCTCGGCTACGGAAATCCGACGCTAATGACTCGTCCGTCTCGGTCGATTCTCAAGGTAAGGAGAAACCCAGATCCGGCTCGAAAAAACGGAAAGTCCCTCCTCAGATTCCAGAGTTTGATCTGGTTGCAGCGAAACAATTGTGCGCGACAACTGAGGAGGCGCTGAGAGGAATGACTCACGTTGAACTCCAACAGCATGTGAGAAAGCTGGAGGAATTGGAAGTTTTAGCAAATGAGGTGCACGAGTTTTGGAAGCAGCGCACAGATGAGAAAATTGGCGACCGAGAGGCGTTCGAGGGTGTCATAGAAAACCTCGTGAAGCACGCCCGGAAGACGAGAAAATGAGAACAAGTATACGATATAATGACAATTTAATTTAATGTACACACATACACCCAGAGAGAGAGATTGTGTGTGAGGAGACCCTGTGCTCTTGATATTATCTCGTCCTTACAGTATCGATGTATATATATCTACATATTACACACTTTAGATCCGAGGAGCGTCCCTATTTTCCAGACACGCGCATATGTCGCCACGGTTATCTGGCGGTGCAGATCTTCGGGCTGCTCGAGGCAACTTGAGGAAGACCAAAGCGTCGCCCAATGCTCATTTTCATGGCGAGATCGAACTCTTAAGAAGAGGGCAATACCGTATGTAAATCAGTTGTCAATACTACTTCTTATAGCGCTTGCTATCTACGTCCGTAGATGATAGCCTCTTTTGATTGCGATCATTACGATCATTACATGTTCTACAATGTACCGGCTCCCAGCGACCAAAAACAAAAGAGAGAGAGCAAAAACGTTCTCTTAACAAAGGTGTGGTTCAAAAGCGCGACATAGGAAAACTAAGGGGGTTAACTAGGTAGATAGAAAACATAAGGAAAAAAAGATATTTTCGAATGACCTCGCTGGGGGTCGAACCCAGAATCTCCTGATTATCGGTAAGGACGCAAGTGCGGCCTCCATCGTAGTCAGACGCCTTGCCATTGGGCCACGAAGCCAACCCGTGTAAGTTGATGACGGCGAGACAAGCGCGTTACTTGATGGTGGCCCGCATGCGCTAAGTTCACGAATTGGTAACCCAACTCCAAGTGGGGGCTAGGTATAAGACGAAAAAAGTCCATCACCGGCGGGTGGAATCGCGTCCCGATGTGTGGAAATGATCGCAAACATAGGCACCCGGTCCATTTTCTCTTTATTTATACCTACTGGGATCTAGGCTACTGCACCCTCAACGATTACCGGTATCATGGTGTGTCTCCTCGATAATAGTCGAATAGGGGGGATGGATCAACAGAGCACGTCGGCGGGCTTGGCTTACGCTTGATCTTGGAAAACGGAAATTTTATCAGCCCGGGCGTCCGCGATAATGCGAAGAAGCCCCCGGGACTCTATCTAGGGTAGGAGATCCGAGGACGCAATCGTCGAGTGAGCTAATACCTACGTGAGTTGTTGGATTTGATTCCTAATAGCGCTGGTATTCACCCGTTAGTTCATCTACGATACGTACAGTCTTAATTAATGCGAGGCTACGAGTAACAACATAGCTCAAGACGGATTACACTACACGTTTATTATAAAAATAGCACTCGCGAGAGTTCTGGTTGCGAGTTGATCGGCTGTCACATGATGTAACCAAGGAAAGTAGGTAGAGTCCAGAGCTGTCAGGCTTGCCGTCGTGTGGATGGCGCCCATGGGCGTTCATACAGGTCTTTCTATATGGCTTATATTCTGCCGATTATAGTGTAATCTGTCAACTGCTTTAGTTCAACTAACACATATCAATAGCATAAATAAGCAGATTATAGTTGCCATCAGCCCCGATTCACGAGACCCCCGCGTCGTCGTAACTTGAAATAAGCGGGCGGCCAATATCGCAAGGACTACCCCGTCTTGCTAATCACCCGACGGCAGTGGCTTTCATGCGTATTGCGGAGTGGTGGTTGGCTTGAATGTTTCGTATATGTAAGTGAAGGCAAGCCTGCTTTTCTGCCTCGATGCAGTCAGCACGAGAGGCTGATACCGTAACACCCCGAACGACGACTACGGCTCTATACCCTCCATCCTGCCAAGCCTGACGAGGCTAATATCGGAAGATATATCATCTGCGTGAATCACTGCTTGGATGTGTGTCTTATAAAGTGAGATATATTCTTAGCCTCGTAGAGGGCGATGACGAGGCTCTTTGCTTCTCGCCACGCTGCCGCGATGCAGTAGCTGGTTTTAGAAATGCGCGAGAGGGAAGGCAAACGTGGATTGGAGACGGAGAGCTTGATGGTTGGTTGTATCAAAGCTGCCCAGGCTTATTATAGACAACCTGCGAAATTATGCGCACATACAATACTACAATGTGAGGGCCAATGTTCGCGCCAGCCCCCTCAGACCTCGGTTGCTCACGTGTGCCTTCGCTTTCACTTTCGTCTATTGTCCTTCTAGGCTCAGCGTAGCATTTCTATATTCTTTTTTGGCCTGCGGGCGCCGCTTCTTTTTGTTATTTCTGAGCCGTCTAATAAATTGTCACCGGCGTAGGGTAATCCATGCCATAGTATCCATGGGTAGTCCACGCTGAGGTTCTTACGCCTTGGTGAGCCGTTCCGCAGCAACTAAGAAAGACACGGACTTTCATCGGTACCCAGCTTCCTAGCGACGATTATCTCGATGGGCATGCTTTGGATTTAGTTCGGCAGACACTCTCTACTAAGTATACGGCGCCCCGATCCAGTTCCAACGATTCACTAGGACTGCTCTATGTCTTTTAATCCCCTCTACTACCCCGTACATACCTATAAGAAAACATGCCAAGGCATCTAGAGGCCCTGAGGTCGCATGATCACCTAATGAGATCGATCAAGGGGTGGATGTTTTCGCTTGGAGAGTGGTCGGAGTCAACGGGGATATGGCCTCATACAACCTTGGCAGCCGACTTGGATTCCATTTACTTGATATGCCCAGAGATGACCCGGGCTGAATCAAAAAGATGCCTATGCGTAGTGAGGCGGTTGACGAAGACTTTATTCATGTTGAAAGGCCAGGGGGGAGCAATTAACGAAGTGTCGCGAAAAGGTTTCCGTGCGCTCTGGGGACGGAGGGAGTTTGAATCAGGTACTCGGAACATATGAACCCCGCGATACCACTTGGTCGTTGATCCCAGGATGCTCATCCTACGATTCTTGCGATATTTAATTGTAGTCTATTAAGTAAGTACAGTAGGAAATAGTCGACCGTGTCCATGGGTCCGCGGGTGACCGGCATCTTATAGGCGACATGCAAGACATACTCAGTAGATACTAGTAGATAATTAACGTCTATATCTTACTGTCCGGCCCGCCTGTGACCACATTGCTTGGCCACCTACTTAATAACCTACTCAAGCACGTCGTCGACAGGGTAGGTATCGTAGGCGAGTGGTGCCCCTAGATGGCCGGGCAATAGGATGACCACTTCTATGGGAATTAGATAACTATCTAGATGTCTCGACGGTCGGCACAGTGCATGGGTCCGGGTCGGTGGCAGTATGTAATATAACTCGGCGGGCAGCAGGTAAAGTCTCATTGACAGAGTGGGATGTCTCTCGCCGAGCTCCAGCCGTAATTAGTACCTGCGGTGAAGTTTCGGAAAAAGCAAAGAGCGAAGAAAAGAAAAGAGCATCTGGGCAAAAGCAGTTCTCGCCCTCCTGTTGGGAAATGCGAATGCAACGATACAATATTCCGAATAGGTAGCGGTGCAGAGCGCGTTTCTAAGAATACCCTTGTGGTGTGTAGTACTTGCACGCATTCGCGGACCCCAGAGTGGCGTTGGTTCTGCTCACTGGCAATGACCATCATGAACATGACCATGATGAAGATGATCGTCGCATGTTGGTCAACTACTAAGTAACCCTGCGGCCAACAGCAATGGATGATGTATCGTGCGAGCACATAATGTAGGTAGTGTACTTACACCGCAATGTGATATTGCCCCCCGGGGATGGCAACGTCAATCGTAGCGGGATTTTGAGGTCTTCATGAAGAAGAACCGGTAATTTCCATGTCTGCGGAGTATTTCAAAGATGCTACGTACGACGATGACAAGCAGATGGGTAGCCATACCGATATATATTATGGCGGTGTTTGAGCGTCCGAACCAGTCCGTGGTATGGTAGCAATGCGTTGACGTATGGGTGCACGATCTACAGAGACGAACTGGTAAGTACTGTGCAAAGAGTGCAGTGGTACTGTGCTCGCTATCAGTCGGCCGACGCAATACCGGTCCATACTCCTACCAGGTCCGAGTCCGCAGTCCCGTGCCCCGGTGCAATGCACTAATAATTATGCAGGGCATTCACAGCCGAGTACGTACCGTACGTACCGGTCCCCAGCGGCATCACGTCCTGGGGCCTCTTGATTGGCACACGCCGAGTCCCCGCCTCGGCCTATAAGACGCCAAGCTCGACACGCTATAAGCTAGCCTCCCCCGCGAAGCGCTTTGCTCTCTTGGCGGCGGAGCCTCTCATCCAACCAGCGGCCACTCTTCTCCAACCCTCCACCACCCTTGCTCCCATCCCCTGCCTCCCATCCTTGCTCCCTTCCTTGCTCCCTGTCCGGCTCCCTGTCCAGCTCCCAACTTGCTACCAACCCACGTTGTTCAGTGAGCGATAGCAACCCGTTGCTGTGCATCCCACCTTCGTTTGTCTTGCCGAGGAGGCATATCACACCGTAGCCGTGGCCATGGCTGAGCTGTTTGCTATTCGTCCGCTCAGCATGGCCGCGAGCGAGCATATCCATCTGCCATGCCATGCTCGCCTCTCCTGGATACTATCTAAGAGGTATCCCGTCTATTATATGTTCTCCCGCCCATTGCCACCGACATCTTCTGCAATTTGCTTCTGCAACCGGTTCCGTGCTGTGGGGTGCAACTTGATACGTCCGAGATAGTCAAATCATTGTGCCGCTTTGTCCCGCAACCCACGGCGCCTATCCACAGCAGGGCTCGCCTGCTACTTGAGGATGAGAACGTCCTAACGATCCTATCAAAAGCATTACTTCGAGCTGGCCACGAGAACCCCGGCCAATCGCGAGCGATCACCTTGCGTGCCCGTGCATGTGTCGTCTCCACTGACTTGACCGTCGCTGCAACCTCTGAGAAGGTCGAATGGCCTTCTGAGGACAGGCGCTTATTCAAAACCCATACCGCCCTCCCGTCCCCAGCCCTGCTGAATTTCTTCCTTCGATAGCTGGTCTCATAATTCTGCTTCTTCTCAGATTGCTTGTTTTCTTTTTTTCGGTCCACATCTCAAGATTCTTGGCCCGTAAAGCACATCTTGATCCACGGGCAACCAACTCGCCGGTACGAGTGATTGTTCCATTCCACTATCGTATTACACTCAACACCACAATGGCGCCGAAAGACGACAAGAAGCGGCCTGCCGCCCTCAATTTAACTCCGTCACGGTCATCGTCAACAGACGGGTCATTTACGAGCACATCCTCACTGAAGCCACCAAGAACACCCAGATTCGCAGAGGCTACGACGGTACATTCTCCCATCGAGCCGTCACAGCCAAACGCATTTGGTGCCCGGCGTGACAGTTCGCAGATAGCACAAGCCCAGCCAGGTTATGTAGGCTTTGGGTACATCAATGACGATGTGCGAACACACACAATTAACATGCCCATGACACCGAAATCGCCCTTGAAGAGTGCGATGAAGGTACCCGGCACGCCAGGAAGGAAGCTGGACAATCCTCTGAGCCCGACATTCAGAGAAGAGGATATCCTTGAAGGTAGAGAAAAGGACACCGAGGCAGCGCAAAAGAAGGATGTGGTAAGTGTCAATGAGCAAGGAGAACCCGTATCGTCTCACTAAACATCTCCTAGGGCCTGAAATACAGAGTGAGATTAGCCAAATTTGCAATTCGTGGCATCAGCTTCAGCTGCAGTTTGATTATTCTGTCCCTGCTGGGTGTTTCATTCAATGTCTTCCGGTCGACAAACCAGCTTGCGGCGCAGAGCAACCTGCCGCC